CCATACACACACATTCCCCCCACTCTGCCACCTCCCACACCACCAGGCCCCTGATCTAAAGGACCCGGGCAACACCATGTAAGTCAGTGGTCCCCAACCTTTTGGGGCTGCCGGGCACCTGGAGGTGGCACCGCGCATGCGCCCGGGGCACAAGAATGTCTCGGGCCGGCCCTGGTCACTAGGCGGGCGCACATAAATGCCCCGGTGGGTGCCATGGCGCCCGCGGACACCGTGTTGGAGACCACTGGTGTAAGTTATATAAGGAAGTTTTAAAAGGTGTGTACTGAGCCCTGAAAAGAAGCAGGCAGCCCTTTTCATTGCAGCACAATGACTGTCAGGTCAAATAAATCTGTAACTGAAAATCAAGTTCAGTCATGAGGTAAGTGGGTTTGATCCAGACTTTGTCCAAGGAAATTAAGTCAGTAAGGTGGTAGCTCACTCTGTAGTCTTTATTCAGATGAAACTCCGATTTAGTTCAATGGGAGTCTTGCTTGGGTAAAGACAGCAGGAGTAGGACTTGTATGAAGAGAGATACAAAATTTGCAGTGAATACTTGCTGATGTTGTGGGAGGGATAGGTCAATATCAATATACCTAGTTGTTTATGGAAAAGGATTCTTATTAGGGTTGTGAAAATTAGGGCTGTCACGCGATTAAAAATTGTATTTGCGATTAATCGTGCAATTAAAAAATTTAATCACAATGAATCGTGTGCAACTCCCATTTAAAATGCAGCTGATCCCGGGCTCCATGCAGTGCTGCCCCATAGAAGGGCCGGGCCGGCGTTTCCAAGGGGCAGTGTGAGGCGGAGCCCTGAGTCAGCTGGAGTCCCAGGGACTCCATGCAGCCTGCGATTAACGCGTTAATTTTTTTAACGCGTTAATCGTGTCCTGCGTTAATTGCAGGTGTTAATGCAGGTCAATTGACAGCCCTAGTGAAAATGTAAAATGTACACACCGTTAACTGGCGAGCCTGGGCTCATCAATTAACCTTCACAATTACACGCAGACTCCCAGTATGCATGGGGAGTCGGCTTAAAAGTTGGCTCCCAGCACACACTGACTGCCAGCGAGCTGCCTGCCCAGCTGCTCTGCTGCTTCTGATACTGTATGTGTGTGTGGAGGGGGGACAGGCAGGAGCCGGTACCTGTGGGGAGCTGCCTATCGCCCAGCATGTAACAGCTGAAATTTTCAGCAGTTTCATGGTTACTTAATTACATGTATTTTAACATCCCTAATACTTAGGCCAGTGGTGGGCAAAAGGGCCTCCGTGGGCCAGATCTGGCCTGCCAAGTGGGTTGATCCGGCCCGTGGCCGCTCTGCTGCTATCCCGTTCCCAGTCCAATCAAAATCTAGGGCTGAGGGAGTGCTCAAAGTCTCCTCCTTGCACCAAGGGCATGTGGCACCAGAGGGAATCCTGCCCCCCCGGCAGGGTGGGGTGGGGAAGCCCGAGACTATGTCTGCTCCCCCGCCCCCAAACCCTTCCCAGTGGCTGGGAGGTGTGGCAGTAGGAGGGGAGGTGCCTCCCGAACTAAGGGGAAAGCCTCCCTTAGGTCCCCCCTTCTGATCCTTCCTTCCTCCACACACCTAGGCTACGTCTAGACTGACATGATTTTCCAGAAATGCTTTTAACGGAAAAGTTTTCCATTAAAAGCATTTTCGGAAAAGAGCGTCTAGATTGGCACGGACGCTTTTCCGCAAAAGCACTTTTTGCAGAAAAGCGTCCGTGGCCAATCTAGATGCGCTTTTGCACAAAAAAAGCCCCGATCACCATTTTCGCGATTGGCTATGACACCCTGCTTCTATAGCTGACTCCATACAGGTGAATCCACATTGACTCAAATGGGGCTTCTTAGGAATGCAGGGTTCTGCTCGTTCACATGCAGAAGCAGGATCAGAGCCTGTATTATTTGCTCATGTTAAAATATCACAACTTCAGGTGTAGTACCATAATTTATAAAATAACTTTTGTTTGAAATTAACTTTGAAAATTCAAAGTACTTAAATTAAAATTATGTATTTTGTTGTTAAGGAATTTTGAAGTTGCTTACTTCTGTTTTTTTTATAGTAAGTACTAAAAAGAACTTGAAAGATGAAATTGAATCTATTTTGCGGGAGCGGATTATGGTTTTGGATGGAGGCATGGGGACCATGATCCAGCAACATACATTATCAGAAGAGGACTTCCGAGGGCAAGAATTTAAAGATCATCCCAAATATCTGAAAGGAAACAATGACCTTTTGAGTATAACTCAGCCTGATATAATCTACAAAATTCACAAGGTATTTATTGTATTGCCTGACTTTTGAGAATTCTATTAAAAATGATTTTTTTAAATATGATTGATTTCTATGTAAAACCTTAAATGTTAACAGACTTTTTTTTCTGAATTTCTCTCATCTTCTGTATTGATTTTTAAAATATTTTTAAAACATAGAAATAGATGTATTTGGTTAGACCAATGATCCATCTAACCCAGTGTCTTGTCTTCTGACATTGGTCAATGCCAAATGCTTTCAGAGGGAAAGAACAAAACAGAGTAGTTGTTGTGTGATGCATCCTGCATTATCCAATCCCAGCATCTGACAGTCAAACGTTTAGGGACATCCAGAGAATTGGATTGCATCCCTGGACATCTTGACTAATAGCCTTGTGAAGGACCATGGCCTCTGTGAATTTACCTAATTATTTTTGAACCCAGCTATATTTTTTGGCATTCACAGAATCCCCTGGCAACGAGTTCCACAAGTTGACTGTGGTGTGTGAAGTACTTCCTTTTGTTTTGTTTAAACCTGCTTCCTATTAATTTCATTGGGTGATACCTGGTTTGCATGTTGTGAGAAGGGATGAAGAACACTTCTTTATTCACACCATTCAAGATTTTAAGGATCTCTGTCATGGCTCTTTTCCAAACTGAACATTCCCAATCTTCTGAATCTTTCTTTATATGGAAACTGCTTCATATTCCTAATCATTTTTGTTGCCTGCGCTTTTTCCATTTCTAATACCTTTCTCGAAATGGGGCAGACAGTATTGCTTGCAGTATTCGTGGTGTGGGTGTAGCAATGGATTTATACAGTAACACCATGATATTTACTGACTTATTATGTGCCCCTTTTCTAATTGTTTCTAATATTCTGGAAGCTTTTTTGACTGTTGCTGTGCATTGAGCAAGTGTTTTCAGGGAATTCTCTACAGTGACTCCAAGATCTCTTTCTTGGCTGGTAACAGCTAATTTAGACCCCATCATTTTACTTGTATAGTTCAGATTGTTTTCCACTGTGCATTCACATCCCTACTCCATGTGGAACCTCATCAAGAATTGCTTCACCTCTTGTGGGTTCCAGAACTAGCTTGTCTAAGAAGCAATCATTAATGATGTCTAGACATTTTAACTCTGCATCCCATCTAGAGGTGATGTACACCAGTCAATATAGGGGTAGTTGAAGAAATTCCCCATTATTACTTTCCAATTCCCCATGGCTCCTGCTGCTGCAGGGTTTGTGAGGGGCCTTGACAACTGCTATTGCCCCATGTCAGGCCCCCTACGATAATCCCCAAAGCTTGTCCTTAGGGAGGGTGTGCAATGTGGGGAGAGAGAGCAGGCAATAGTGGGAACGGTAATGGACAACTCTTCCCCTACCGGCCTGCAGGAACTCCTGGGTCTGATTGCACAATTGCTCTGGGCGGGGATGGCCTGCGAGCCCGGAGTTGAGACTTCTTGCCTCCAATTCTGCCTGTTACAAATTATACCTAAAATCACAGCAAATGACAAAGGTTAAAAAACCCAAATGTGTGCATTTTATAGCTTTATATTGTGAACAGTTGTGGCAGAGTTTTGTCAAAAGTCAGGTTTTCTCTTTTACTGTTGCCAGTCAGTTACTTTCCCTTGCTGGTGGTTTCAGTCAGGCTACGTCTAGACTGGAAGCCTCTTTCGAAAGAGGCTTTTTCGAAAGATACTTTCGAAAAAGCCTCTTTCTAAAAAGAGCATCTAGACTATAACCAGTACTTTCGAAAAAGCATGCCGCTTTTTCGAAAGAGAGCACCCAGGCAGTCTGGTTGCTGTCTTTTGAAAAAGCACAGTTTGCATTACATAGTGCCTTTTTTTGAAAGAGCACTTTCGAAAAAAGGCGTTCTTCCTTGTAAAACAAGGTTTTCAGCTGTAGAAAAAACTGCTGCATTCTTTCGATTTACTTTTGAAAGAACGTGGCAGCAGTCTAGATGCAGGGGAAGTTTTTTCGAAAAAACCCTGTAGTCTAGACACACCCTTATAGAAAAACCGGAAAAAAAAAATTATACGCGGTAATACTTAAATACACGATAAACACCAAGTGTGATTGATAGTAACTTTGTGTGGGTAGGTTTGCATTTTTAAGTGAACAGTTGTTTTTGTTCATTTTTCAGTAGTGCAAGATGCTTTTCAAACATAGGAAGACATGGTCCCTGCCCCAAAGATATTTTTTTGTAACAGTACACATGATGCAGTAAGTGTGTACTGCAAAAATAGGTGAGAAAATAGGAAGACATGAGAGTTACAAAAACAAGCTCTCACAGTTAAACATAATCCCCAGAAATACAATCCTCTTAAGCCAACCTTCTCATATTCCCTCTTAGTGCTCCTTTATTAGCTTCTCCCTGCCTCCCACTGTTCAGCTTTCTGTTTCTAGTCCTCCATCTAACCACTTTCTTTCCTCCTTCCACATGTTGTCCCTGGGCAAGTTCTGCTGCATTCTACACCTGCCTCAACAGTACCCCATCTCACCGTCACAATCTTTGGTGAAAACTTGTTTCCCTTCGAAGTCAATGGCCAAGTTCCCATTAATTTTAGTGGGGCCAGCATTTCAACCCCCAGCTTACGAGTACAGTCACACTTTATTAAGCATACATTTATGCATAGTTTATAAAAAGTTAATTACATCTGTTAATTTCATTTTAATATGTGCTTCAGTAGGTTGATTGTAACATTCTAAAACTTACGCTATTCATGCCAGTAAGGTGCTTCTAACATCTGTAAGGCCTTGATTCTTGAAGTTGCCTAACTGTAAGCATATCACTAAAATTACTTATATGCTTAAAATTAAGCTTGTGCTGATAGTACCATTTTGAATGGGAGCCTTGATAGTTTTACACTTTATTTATGTGTGACCATAAACGCTGAAACTCTGAGTATCCTTGAATGTGTCAAACACTATTTCAAAACAAGAGGAATAAGAACTGCAGGATTTGGTCTTCTGTGACTTGGGAGGCAGTTATCCCTTGGCTTGTTAAGTTGAAAGTCACAAAATGTTGTCTTTTCCATATCCTGAACTGAAATCATTAAGTCTCAGTAGTTGTTCATTGTTGCAGGAATACTTGCTATCTGGGGCGGATATCATTGAAACAAACACTTTTAGCAGCACCAGAGTTGCACAAGCTGACTATGACCTTGAGCATCTGGTAAGAATTTTGAACTACTTACACGTTAAGATATTAATTGAGATTTGTTGTCCCAGCAGTCCATAAGACTCACAGTTTTTGCTAACTTCACACACTGTCTCTGGGCACACAGGTGACATTGTGTGGGTCTCTAGTGCTCATGGAGAAATATTCTATTTACTTGTAATACATTTCCATTGTAATGGTAATATGAGGATGAAAATTAATCTTGTTATGTGACAGTTGTCGATGAAGGCACAAACAGTAATCCAGTAGTGTGTACTGGGCTTCATCATTTGAATATTCGCTGAAGGCTCTTGTTCTGTGAACAAGAATATTGTGCTTTATTACTTACAATTTCATAAAGAGGTGCCATAGTAGAAATGCGTGTTGTTCCTTAATGTTGTATGTATAATTTATACTTTGCACAGAGGTCTGTCCTGCTTGCAGTAGAGTGTCACTGCAGTGTTTAGCACTTTCTTACACTCAGGTTTGTATTGCCTGTTGGGGTGGGTCACATCATTTTAAAATTAATCTTAGCAGATGGCACAACAATATCTGGAAATATACCATCCGAATCAGAGCTGATGTAACAGATAAACTAAATTTACCTTCATAGGGCCTCTTCCTTCAAAGTTACAATTCCCACTAACTTCAGTGGGAATTAAGGGCACTGAGTATCTTACAGAACTGGCCTTTAGCTCCTCTCCCATCATTCAGTTTTAGCAGTTTTAGGCACAGACATGTAATGTAGTGGACAGACATGTAATGTGTATAATATAATCACAGCACTACGGTTGACTTTCTGAGGTTATCTGGCCTGTAGAGCATTTAGAATGCTGCACTAGCAAATTTCTTGGCTAGTTTGCTTCATTGAAGAGTTATAATGTACAGAATTAGCCGTATCTGTTAGCACGCGGTAATTTGGCTGTCATTGTTCCAGGTTTATCAGTTAAACAAAGTCTCGGCACAGTTGGCCAGAAAAGCAGCTGATGATGTAACTGCTCAGACAGGTGAAGAGGTTTTTTTTTCCTTTGCATTTTAATGTTCCTTCTCTATGTTCTATCCTCTCATTATAAGCTTTGAAATATTGTGACTTCGCGTGGTACAGTTGGTTGCATCTGGGGCCAGTGATGACCTAGAAAAGAAGCCTCATGCCTGACAGACTCAGATTATAAGCTTTTAAAATGTGCACAGTGTTACTCTGGTTATTTCACAAAATGATGAGTGCTTCTTAGGAGTCCACAACTTCCACTGAAATTCCCTGGATCTGAGTTCATCTGGCATCTTCCAGGTGGTACTCAGTAGCTCGCAGCATTAGCCATAAAAGGGTAGTCATTCCTAAAAATGACCTCTTCATCTATGGTGTTTAGTAGAGACCTGCCTATCTAACAAGAGCATTTGATAAAGGGATAATTTAATTGAGACATCTCCAAGTTTTCTGTCTCATTCTAACACCAAGCTGCATCTACTGTTTATAACCAATCAATAGATTGTCCAGATAATACCTCCTTGATTTGGTTCTTAAATATAATAATTAAGGCACATGATTTTTTTTTAAAGTGGTTCATTCATCTTTGTAACTAAATGGGAAATGACTGCCTAGGAAGGAGTATTTTGGAAAGTGATCTGGGGGTCATAGTGGACCACAAACTAAATATGAGTCAACAGTGTGACACTGTTGCAAAATGAACATCATTCTGGACTATATAAGTTGTAGGGTAGTAAGACAGACACATGAAGTAATTCTTATTCTGTACAGGTATGTTTACACTTGCACTCTCTTTTGAGAGAGGAATGCAAATGAAGACATTCAAAATTGCAAATGAAGCCAGGATTTAAATATCCCACCCTTCATTTGCATATTTGCGTTATGGTGCTATTTCGAAATAACAGATGCTGTTAAGACGCGGTTATTTCGAGAGACAACCCTTCTCTCGAAATAACTGGTAAACCTCATTGTATAAGGAATAAGGGTTATTTTGCATACCCTTCTTTGCACTGATTAGGGCTCAACTAGAGTATTGTGTCCAGTTTGGGGCAGCGCATTTGAGGAAAGATGTCCTGAAAACTGGAGACAGTCCAGAGAAGAGCAACAAGATTAAAGGTGTAGAAAACCAATGAGGGAAGATGGAAAAAATATATTTTTTTAGCCTGGAAAAGAGAAAACCAAGAGGGAACACAATAACCGTTTTCAAGTACCTAAAATGTTAAAAGGAGGAGGGGAAAAATTGTTCTTTAGCCTCTGATGGTAGGACAAGAAGCAATGAGCTTAAATTGAGCAAACAAGGTTTAAGGTGGACATTAGGAAAAACTTCCTAATGTCAGGGTAGTTAAACACTGGAATAAATTGCCTAGGGAGGTGGTGGAATCTCCATCTTCAAAGATTTTTAAGAGCAGGTTGGATAGACATCTGTCAGGGATGTTCTAGATGGTGCTTGGTGCTGCCATGAGTGCAGGGGACTGGATTCGATGACCTCTCGAGGTCTCTTCCAGTCCTGTGACTCTAATATAGTGATTGGAATATCTGTTACATTGCATTGTAATTTCTCTTTAGGGCGCTGTGCTGTGCATTTAAAATAGATAAATGAAACTTGCTATTTGATCATGCAACAAAGAGTATTTAAAAGAAAACTTGGACTGAATTGATGGTTTGCCGTGGCATTGTTTGTAAATACTATATTAACCCTTATTGTATCCAGTCAGAGCTACTCAACTGCCCAAAGCTAATTTAGATTCTCCTGTACCTCATGTAATAGGGGCTTGTGTGCTTGGAACAGGAGGCTCTGAGTTAAATCTACATGGTTGCCATAATGTCTTAGGAGATGGCTACAGTATTTTGACTGTATGTGGCTAGAGTTTCTATGTGACATTTCTTCCATTATTTAGAGAATAAGAGATTTGTTGCTGGTGCGATGGGTCCTACAAACAAGACTCTCTCTGTGTCTCCTTCGGTGGAAAGATCAGACTACAGGAGCATCAGTACGTATTTGTAGTTCAGTTCTATTTAATTTTCACGATACCTTACAGGACAGTGTCTCCAGCTAAAGATCTGAAATAAATCACTTAAATTAATTCTTACTTTGCAGCATTTGATGAGCTGGTTGAAGCATACAAAGAACAAGCCCGAGGACTTTTAGATGGAGGGGTTGATATCTTGTTAGTAGAAACCATATTTGATACAGCCAATGCCAAGGTGAGACTTTTGGGAAAACTTGAAAGTGATTTGAACCTTTTTGTTAAATGCCTAAATAAAATATTTCAGTGTGGGGGCTATAGAGGAGATCTGTAGTTATCAAACACAGAAAAGTTCTCTTTTATCTGGTGTTACCTGTTTTACTATGTAGTTCAATGGTTACAGGTTTATCTGTTTATACTGTGTAGTTCAATAGTTATAGATTTTCAAGGCATTTTATTAGAACTCCTGGACGAAGAGCGAGGGGAAAAAATAGAAAGTTTATTTTGAACCCTACCCCCCCTTTTTTAATTTTGTTAAAATTCACAACTTTCTGACCAGCACTAGTCTATATAGTGACAGTGAAAGCTGACAATTAAAAAAGGTCAAACTCTACCCTTTGATACATCTCTGTCAAAGAGAATAAGTGTGTGTGCACACACAGATGTGTGCACATACATTTTAGGGGGGAGGGCTAGCTCAGTGGGTTGAGCTTTGGCCTGCTAAATACAGGGTTGTGAGTTCAATGCTTGAGGTGGCCACTTAGGGATCTGGGGCAAATCCATCAGGGATGGCACTTGGTCCTGCCGTGAGGGCAGGGGACTGGACTTGATGACCTCTCAAAGTCCCTTCCAGTTCTATATCTCCATATATTTTTATATTCCTTAATATTCAAGGTCCCATTGTGAATGTTTGAAGTTTCATATTGTAGAATATGAAAGATATTGATGTCATTCAGTGATATTAATAATTTCATAGCATGACACTGTAGAGTGAGGTCCCTACTAGGGATGTAAGAGTGTAGGGTTAAATGATTAACCAATAAATGAAAGCTTATTGGTTAATGCTACCAACTACACTCCCTCCCCCCCCCCGTGGTTCTGCTAGTAAATGTTTTTAACAGGCTGGCCAGCAACCTGCCTCAGTCCCAGCTCACATTGGGTCCTGGGAGCTACCTCCGCTGAGGATCTACCAGGAAAGTAATTTAGGAGCCAGTGGGCAGGCAGCCAGTGGGCTCCCATGTCCTGGGAGCTACCTCCCCCTGCAGCTCTGCAGAGCCACAGTGGGGATAGCTCCTGGGACCCAGCATGAGCAAGGATTCTCTCCTAAAATACTCTGAGTGCAGAGACGTAGCAGGGATAGTAGCTGCCACAAGCCAGGATGGAGTGCTTGCAGTGCTAACCCTTACTGATTAATCATGTAGTTGACAAAATCATGTAGTTGACAAAATAGTTGACAACAATACGATTAACAGATTACCTGCTACATACCTCTCCTGGGACCCAGCATGAGCAAGGATTCTCTCCTAAAATACTCTGAGTGCAGAGACGTAGCAGGGATAGTAGCTGCCACAAGCCAGGATGGAGTGCTTGCAGTGCTAACCCTTACTGATTAATCATGTAGTTGACAAAATCATGTAGTTGACAAAATAGTTGACAACAATACGATTAACAGATTACCTGCTACATACCTCCTACACCTTGTGCTGATGAAGGAAGGCATTTTGCCTACATATTATGTACCCATCCTATGCTAAAATTCTGTGGAAACTACTGTGGACTAAGTGGACATATATGTAGGGGTTATGAATTGAGAATAATTCTTGCGACCATATAAAACACATGAAATCCATACTATGGAAATGATTAGTAGATGTAACACAGACTTTAACTGTGTGGTTATCCTATGTTCTATAGACACGAGTGATGAATAATGGTATACAAATCTTAGCAAGTACTTTGATATGATTTTTGTGTTTAAAAGAGCCTTGGGCTGCCTACTTGCACTGATACGTTTAACACCACCATAATATGTCTGAAAACTTAGAGGTTTCTGGGGGAGAATGAATGTTCTTGAGTATAGAAAAATTTTCCAGACTCTAGCAATATTGTATGGTAAGTTGTGTAAAAGGTTATTCATACGTCTTTAACTTGCAATTTTTATTATTAAACAGGCAGCTCTCTTTGCTCTCCAGAAACTGTTTGAGGAAGAGTATGATCCCAGACCAATATTTGTAAGTGCAAAATATTTTACTAATTGTAACTAAAATGATTTAATATTTCTATGTGTGGTTCCCTATCAGGACTGAGAAGGTAGCTCAGCAAGAATAACAGTGATGCACTAAGGAACCCCCCCCCCCACACACACACAGTATAACACGCAAATAATATGTTTTTGAAAATTGCCTTGTCTTGATGAATTTACCTTGATGTTCTTAGGACAGCGGGAAAACATTTCTCTCTCATATCATATGGAGTGTTTTTAAGGCCAAAGTATTTTATTTTATAGCTCCATATTTGTTCATTGCCCTTCACAGATGAATTTTTTAAAAGAAAGTCAGGGACCTTCCCCAGAAAGTTGACAATATAAAGCCTCCAATTCTGGTGTTTGTTGTGACTTACGGGAGGCACTGTGTGGGCAAAAGGATCTGCTGATACACAGCACATCGCAGGATTGGTCTTAAATAATAACTGTGTGCTGTGGGCCCCATGGGGCTGAAACAGCCCCCTGCCCGGAGTGAGTGGAGAGCTGTTCCACCCCTTCCCGGTTAGCTGGATAACCCTTTACATCCGTAGTCAGAAAGTTTATCTTTTTACTTGCCAGAACATTTGGGGAAGTTGCACAGAAAATCATTTCCTGATTGGGTTGACTGTGATCATTTTGAACCAAGCGCTGTTCATCTTGTTTTGGCTTTTGAGAGTACAGTATTAGTAACAAAAGCTCTTCTCTTCTGTCTTCTCTCCTCCCCACCCTGTCTCCTCTGTACTTTAGGTTTCTGGAACTATTGTAGATAAGAGTGGACGCACTCTCTCTGGCCAGACAGGAGAGGCATTTGTCATAAGTGTATCCCACAGTGAGCCACTTTGGTAAGATAATGTGTTTTCTACAGTCTATTACTTTAAGACCAGAATTACTGGTAAGTTTTGTAAGACCCTGTCAACATGCTAACCATGCCATCTGCAGCCATATTTAACCATGTGTGTCACTAGTGCATTGTAGTGTGGTTTCTTTGTCTGGTGTAGCAGAAATTATTTTCCCTGAAAACCAAGGTGTAATGTACCCCTCACTTATGTGTCCTTATTATGTTATGCAGCTTAACAAAGTTCCTGGCAGTATTAGCAAGGGAAATTATGCTAAAACAGTGGTGGTTCACCAGCTGTTTGGTGGGCTGCCAAAGCTAGATTTACCTGTGTCTCTGCAAGTACCAGCAAGCACAACTCCGATTGGCTGTGGATAGCCATTCTCAGCCAATGGGATCAGTGGGAAGCAGCATGGACTGGGACACTGCTTCCCACAGCTCCCATTGGCCGGAAACAGCAATCCGTGGCCAGTGAAAGCTGTGATTGGCCGTACCGGCAGAGGCGCAGGTACCGGCAGAAGCGCAGGTAAATATAGTGGTGAAGGCCCGCCAGGAAGGACCAGAAGTGGCCTGCAAGCCTAGTATTTACCCACCCTGTGCTAGAACCTTACATTTAACAACTAGCTATTAACACAGTAATATTCAAATGTTTGTGGTATACTTATTAATCTAGTGTAGCCAAAACTTAAGTGAATCGCATTGTATCAGTCTTCAGAAGCAGGGCAGGAGGTGAAAGAATTGAATTCTCATATAGAGAGATGAAGCTGCTTGTCCATTCTCTCTCAGATGAGAGTTACTCCTTTATCTTCCTTTCCCCCAAATGATGTGTGAACTGAGTCCCGATCCACATTGGACAGTGAACCATATTGGACAGTGGAGCTCAAGCTGAATTTTATGATGGTTCTGCCTATTTTGATTTCCGCTGTGTAGCTGGCTGATATAGACAAGATCAAACTGTTGTAAAACTAATTTCTGAAGCCATGTTTGAATCTGAAGCCCAGGCTTTCAAATTTACTTTGCAAAGACAGTTACTATCTGGAGTAGGGGGAGCTTAGATCTATTTTGTGGGAGAAAAGAGATCCCCATGTCAGATCATATGGTTAAATGATGAGATGCCATTGCAACATCCTTTCCCCTAATTTGTTATAGAATTTGAAATGTTCACTGAATTTTTCTCATAAAAGTATATTCTGAAAAATACTGTCACTTTTAGGTGATTATTTAACAAAAATATATTTTATCCATGCTAACATAAATGTTAGACATTTTTTAATCAAAAAATTTGGCAGCTGCATAAGACAGAGACCTGCATATAACTGTACTTCCCCCTCTTTTTCCTCCTTTCCTTGTGATTTTTTCTATATCCTTTTCTGCCTCTTTCTCTAGCTACATAAAGATTTACACAAAAAAGTAATTGCCTATAGTTTGCAAAGTTTTCCTGAGATTTTTAAATATTTTCATTTGCTATTAGACACGTAGTAGTGCATGTTGTGACAAACCACTCTTTGTTTTTACAACAAAATCCCAGTTCAAAACAGCAGTCTGTCATCCCAGCAAAGCAGACTTGCAAGACTGTATTATCAAACAACGAACCCAGCTTTTCTGACACATCCCACTTCCCACCCCTTCTTCAAGGACCTACTTTTCCAGACCAGACATTGCGATAGATGTAACATATGGAATCTCTTGGAACTTGATTCACTCACTATCACAGCCTAGAGATCTATGCTTGGCATAGGTCTTGGCCTCAGATAAAGTGCTCATGATTCTCTAGTGTCTTTAGGGAGGATAGAAGGAGAACTAGAGCAGAAACTGAGAATATATTAAACTATAATACAAAATTTATGAATACTCTGTGCTTGATTGTGATTGTAATCCCACTTTACCTGGCTATAGCGAACAAAGCCTTAAAGTGAGAGTGAATTACATTTAACCCCACTTTAAAGTCCCATTGTGCTACCAAAGTGGTGTATATGAGAGTCTGGCTGTCTCTGTCTAATGCCATTATACCTGTTTTCTGACATTCGCACATGCCTTCAGTTTTCTCCAGAGTACAGTTTGAAGCAGTGAGTTGGAGATGTAAATCAGTGTTTTGGTTTGGGTCACGATTAAGGATTGTACACACATTCTCACTCTGTGCACCATCAGCATAGCTGATATTGGTTAGGGTACTGCTGCTAACAGTTCTTGCTATTTGAGTGTCTGAGGACAGGTGATGGGGCATTTTCAGTGAATGGTTCTCAAATGTTGGATTAGCTTTCTCTGAGGTGGGTGTGGCCTGGCTGGAGCAGTGTCCCCCTCCCACAGGAGTTGTGGGGCTGCTCGGGCCAGGCAGGGCCCTGTATATCCCACCACGGGCAGGTGCTGCTCCAGCCAGGCTGGGCGCCAGTTAATCCATTACCCTGGTAAGCATGCCAGTAAGACAATGCTTACCAGTGAACCAATTAACCCTTTACATCCCTCTTTTCTGATGGGCATACTTTCAAAATGATAACATTGAATGGTGCTGTCCTCATGTCAGCTTCTGCTGTGAGGATAAATCCCCCAGAAAGTCTCGAGAAATGGTTTTGGTACCTGATGTGTAATAAATCCACTGAGAATGTCAGAGTATTTTGACATTCATTAATTACACAGTTGTCTCGAAAATATCTTGCCACTGAGGTGAGGCACAGAGAGAGCGACGATGAGTCTATGTTCCAAGAGACAGATAAGGCAAAAGGAAATGCAGCTGGCTAAGATGAAGAGATAACCTGAAAAAAATAAGTGAGCTACTCTGTCATCTTATAAATCAAACATGACATAACACTGTAGAATCAATTGCATTTATCTACATTTAGTGTGGATGGCTTCATTAACTACCCTTATCTTTACTTCGCTTCAGCAATCCTGGCTTTGGAACCCTTCCTTATTTCATGAAAATAAATTATCTTTGCACCTTTGTAATGACACATGCCCTGCTCCGTAGTGCATGATATGTATGTCTGGAGGTCCATAAGTGACTTATCTGTGCTTAAACACAAAATTCAGTGGGGACGTGGGGGTGGTAGAATTCCATTGAAAGCTATGGTATATTTAAATAGAATGATCCAAGGCAAACAGAGTTCAGAAATGCAGTAAAGTTGTAAACTAAGCTCTTAGATCACAACCTGTTAGCATAAGGGGAGTTGCACGTTGTTTAGTTATGGAAAAGTAATTGTACAGTGTACAGATCCCCACTCCCTGATGGCTAATATAAGCCAACTGGAGTCCAGGGATTTGTATACTGTCTGTATGGTTACTTCTCAATAATTGTACAGTCAGCATGCAAATTCTTTTCTCTGATTCAGTCACCGACGCAATTCCCACTCAGGTGCACATGTGAAACATCTCACCTACCCACCCCAGTCCTGAATTGAACTGCTCCAAATTGAGGGAAGTTCTATAGAAATATGCATATTACAGCCTTCTCTGTGGCAGGCTACTTCAGCTGGCTACTGGGAGATTGGAACAAGACTATGGTCCTGTCTCCTTCCCATCACTTTGGAGTAGCATGTGTCCTTTTTAAAGCAGTAGAAGTTATTGTTGATATGCGTGGTTAGGGGAAGGCTCCTCAGAAACAATTTATGAGAGCCATTCTAGCACTCTTACTTTTGTCCGTGGGGAGGGGTGACTTGTAGTCCATTAGCAGCATGACATGGAGTGAACAGGAGATTGTATGTTAAAGGTCTTACTCTGTATACCTGGAGCATTGAAAATTCCCTTTGACATCAGTGTAAGAATGTTAGCTTTATTTGTATTCAGGAGCGGACCCTGAGAGTAGCACTTTCCTATCTGATGTTGAAAGAAAATATATTTGTGCTTAATATGCTGGTGAAGTTGCTCAAGAAGCTTATACATGTGATAGAACTCTGCTGTAATGTTGTCTAAAGGGGCATAAGGCCTTTGCAGAGAAACTAAATCAATTCTTTGCATCAGTCTGCTGAGGATGTGAGGAAGATTCCTAAACTCGAGCTCGTTCTATTTAGGTGATGAATCTGAGGAACTGTCACAGAGTGAGGTGCCGTCAGAGGAGGTTTTGGAACAAATTGATAATTTAAACAGTAACAAGTCACCGGGACCAGATGGTGTTTACGCAAGAGTTCTGAAGGAACTCAAATGTGAAATTGTCAAACTACTAACTATGATTTGGTACCTATCATTTATATGAGCTTCTGTTCCAAATGACTGGGGGATAGCTAATGTGACACCTATTTTTATATAGGGATCCAGAGGTGATTTAACAATTGCAGGCCAGTAAGCCTGACTTCAGTACTGGGCAAACTGGTTGAAACTGTAGTAAAGAACAGAATTGTCAGATACGTAGATACTTTTTGGAGAAGAGTCAACATGGTTTCTGCAGAGGGAAATCAGGTATCACCAATCTATTAGAATTCTTCAAATGGGTCAACAAACATGTGGACAAGGGAGATCCATTGGATATAGTGTGCTTAAATGTTTCTGAAAGCCTTTGACAAGGTCCCTCACCAAAGGCTCTTATGCAAAGTAAGTTCCCTGGGATAAGAGGGAAGGTCCTCTTATGGATCAGTACCTGGTTTAATGGTAGGAATCAAAGGGTAGGAATAAATAGTCAGTTTTCAAAATAGAGAGAGGTAAATAGTAGTGTACCCCAGGGCTCTTGATTGGGGCCAGTGCTATTGAACATAGTCATAAATGATCTGGAAAAAAGGTTGAGTGGCAACATTTTCAGGTGATACACACTTTTACTCAAGATCATTAAGTCCAAAGCAGACTGTGAAGAACTATAAAGGGATTTCACAAAAGTGGGTGACTGGGCAACAAAAGGGCAGATGAATTCAGTAATGCAAAGTAATGCACATTGGAAAACAAAATTCCAATTATACATGTAAAACGATGGGTCTAAATTAGCTGTTGCTCCACAAGAGAGAGATCTTAGAGTCATTGTGGAAAATTCTCTGGGCAAACATCCATTCAATGTGCAGCAGCAGTCAAAAAAGAAAACAGAATGTTGAGAATTACTAAACAAAGGCTAGCCAATAAGACAGAAGAGATCATATCACCTCTCTAAATCATGGAGAATAGGCCTCTCAATGGCTATTAGCCAGGATGGACAGGGATGTCCCTAGCTTTTATTTGCCAGAAGCTGAGAATGGGCAATGAGGAATGGAACACTCGATGATTGTCCGTTCTCTTAATTCCTTTTGGGACATCTGGCATTGGCCACTATTGGAAGATTGAATACTCAGTTAGATGGGCTTTTGGCCTTTGGCCTCATTATGGCCATTATTATGTTCTAATCACTGAAACATAGAATATATGTGCTGAATAAATTCAAGTGTATAAGTTTAATGTTGCGTATGGCCATCTTAACTGATACATTTTTCTTTGCTAAAGCATTTTTAAAACTCACAAGAAAATGAGTGTATCAGAACTGGGTAGGTTGAGACAGTTCTTTGATCTTTCTACCTTCTCCCTTTTTTTCCTGTAGAAGAAGGCAGTGTCTTTTTCTAATGAAATCCTAGCATTTTGGATCTGATGGTACTTTCATACCTACAATGTAGAAAGGAGAAGGTACAAATACTGCTAAGATAGAAGGTCACTTTCCACTTGCACTTGTATTTCAAACCTTGTTTCATCATTCCCAGTGTTGCTGCAGGCTGGTGCCTCAGTGTGCTTTATAAACATCAGGGTTGGTTTTTTTTTTTTGGTAGTGACAGTATTATAAAAGAGCACCATTTAAGATGTTCCTATGGGATGTTGAGATCCTAATGAAGCTTTTACATCCTTTCATGAGGGAAGTGGGCAGTACCTAATTAGAGCAGGTTTCTGGGTAGCATAAGGAAAGTAATGTATTGTGAGTTCTGTGGGGGTGACTCTAGTCTCTTACCAGTGGTGGAGCTGACGTGGGCTAAACAGAAAATTGTGAAGAGGGCAGCACTATGCATATTGTGGGCAGACATTTATTTATTTTTTCAACAAAATGCACTTAACCATATGTTTTATCTATGCTATTCTCAAAATAAAAATGAATACCAGGCAGATGGGTTTTAAATTTCATCTATGGAATCTCACTGGTGCAATATTTATTCTCTGAAAAATCAACAAGAAAAAAAATCTAAGCCAATAAATAAATAAACTAATTGTAATAAGAGTAAAGAAATTGCAAACTTTGGGGACAATGCTATTTAAATAATATGAATAGTTGATGACTTTAAATCTAAGAATGTAAAGTTAGCCATTTGCACACACCAAAGTAGGGATATTTGGAAAATTTGGAGACTTGGTGCTGAAAGGAAATAGCTCACACTCTAGTCAGTCTGGAGCCCGGGACCTTCATGCTAGAGAGGGTTAGTTGAGCACAGGTATGATAGGAGGAAGAACCCAAAGGTTTCAGGTAGTGTCCTCTATCCTGAGCAGCAGCTGGAGGAGGCAGTGGGTGGGAAAAAGGATGAATGCTGAGTCTATGCAGCTCCTGAGCTCCAGCTACCTTGCAAACCTAAGTGTGATCCACCTGGACCACGGCATGTGCAGCTGCAGCAAACACATGGCAGGAAGCTGCACTCTGGGGATGTGACCCAGGCAGCGAGGAAGCTGGGAAGCCATTTCAGATTTTGATAGGAGAGGGTAAGTTTAATCATGTTTCCAGGATCTATCTGAAAATTATAGTTTAACAGACAATGACTTAATTAGTTTTCAGGAGCCAATGTATCTAATTCCTATATAAAGAAAAATATATACACACAAACCAATTAAACCCATGTTTTAAGTTTATATGTAAATTTAGAACAGATTTAGTAGAGATAATACAACAAGATATTACCAGTTTCAAACCTTGAGATACCAATTTTGGAGTATTAATATAGCCATTGGCAACACATTGGAAACTTTGATCTCTGTCTTAAATAGAGGTAAATAAAAAATAAATAAAATCTGCTATTTTTCTTTAATAGAAATAACACTCAGTTACTCGTGGAAGAGTGCTATTGTTGCAGGTGTTTTCTTGTTTGTGTTTTGCTTTCAAGCAGCAATATATGAAATTTGCAATTTTTATTTTTTCAGTATTGGCTTAAACTGTGCATTAGGAGCAGTTGAAATGAGACCCTTCATAGAAGCAATTGGGAAGTGTACGACGGCCTACATCATCTGTTATCCCAATGCAGGTGTGTGGTATATGTGTTTTTATGTGTGTACACAAAGTAAATTAGTTCAGCCTTTCTATACCACTAGAAGTAATACTCTAGGTAGATAATTGACAGGTCAAACACAGTGTACATATTGTATTAGCTCATCTTACCGCTATTTTTTATGTTCTACCATCTCCAAAAGTTAATTTTAGCCTTCCAGTTTGTATAGTGTAAATTATTTAATCGTTGTCACAGAAAGATGGATCTAGAAGTTTGACTGAGCATCAATACCTATCATCTTCAGTCAGAACAGCTTCAGGTGCATGGTGGGAGGCTCAAACTTCCAACCCATACTTTTCTGAGTAGTCCCAATGAAGTCATTCAATCTACTTGTTTTGGTAGAGGCTACTTTTATGAATAAAATTTGAAGGCTCAGATTCTTTTATTGCCCCATTGCGGCTTTTAAGCGAACATTTTCTGAGAAAGAAGTAGGGATGGGGAAATAAAACTCGAATACCTATAATGTCTTCAGTAAAATGTATGTAAACTGATTTTATTTGCTGGCAGCTCAAGTATCTGTTATTCTAGTGGTTTGCTCCTAAACTATTTTCTATATTCTTTTAATATCCAAAATTTAATTTCCCCTTTAGGCTACATCTAGACTGCAAGCCTGTTTCGAAAGAGGCTTTTTTGAAAGATACTTTCGAAAAAGCCTCTTTCAAAAAAGAGCGTCTAGACTACAACCAGTACTTTTGAAAAAGTAAGCCGCTTTTTTGAAAGAGAGTACCCAGGCAGTCTGGATGCTCTCTTTTGAAAAAGCACAGTTTGCATTACATAGTGCTTTTTTTTCGAAAGAGCACTTTCGAAAAAATGTGTTATTCTTCGTAAAATGAGGTTTTCGGACATTGAAAAAACTGCTGCCGTGTTCTTTTGGAAGTAAATTAAAAGAACATGGCAGTCTAGACGCAGGTGAAGTTTTTTCGAAAAAAGGCCACTTTTTTTGAAAAATCCGTCGTCTAGACACACCCTTAGAGAAAGGATAGTTGAAGCTTGGAAAAAAATATTACTCTGACAGAATAGATCAGACTATTATTTGTAACTCTGCAATTAAGAAAAGACTACTTTTTAAAATTCATTAGTAGCGTAGCAGCTACTCAATTGAAAGCAAGTGATGGCGCTATAACAGCATAGCTGTTAGGTTAAAGGTAATAATTCTTTTAAAAAATAAGCTCCAAAGCTTTCTTCCTACCTTGCTGCATTTAACTTTACAATTCTTTAAGAAAGAAATGTCATTACTACTAAGAGTTAGAAAGTAAGCATTCAATGGCTTGAGTTTTTAAAAAAATTTTTAGCTGTAATTGAGGAATCTGGAACATTTTCAGGAGCAACCAATAACTCATTGAATGATTATCACAAGTGCAATGAGGCATTTTAGTTCAAAATGTGCAGCTGCTTTAAATGTAGTATTAAACACAATGTAATACTCTGAAAAATATGTCTCAAGGTCTCCCCAATGCCTTTGGAAGTTATGACGAAACCCCTGAAGTGACTGCCAAGCATATAAAGGTATGTGATATTTCTCACAAATGGGTTTTATTTGCCGTAGTAATAGCAATATGGTTGTCTCTGCATTTACTTTATGAAGGCTCACTGTAGCACTATTGTTAATTGGTTCTTAGGAAATTACCGTGGTGATGTTTAGGTGGGGCCTGTTGTGTATGTTACAAACACCACTTTTCCCCAGCAATTTAAACTGTTTATTGAATGATGGCACTTGCTGACTGAGATCAAGAGAAACTTCTGTTTAATAAATGTTGAAACCCTAAGTCATTTTAGCCTTTTTTCTGCCCACTACATTTCAGGAAGATTGCTTAGCTTGTGAGATCTGTTGATCAGATGTTACAGATCACAAGCATTTATGCTCTTTTCACTCGCTCCCGCTCTTTGGAAAAAAATCAGCACAAAAGGACCTCACGCCTTCCCTTATTGACTAATTGTGTAGTCGAAGCAAATTGTATTGACTAGAAGATTAGTCAGTTATCTGCCTCTTAACATCCTTACCTGACACTATCAAGAAGTTCTCACTTAAAATATCAGCAGGAGAGCAGCATCTGAAGCACTATGAGACTTTGGTAGAAATGTAGCCGTGTTAGTCAGGTGCAGCTGAAACAAAAAACAGGACTGTGTAACACTTTAAAGACTAACAAGATGGTTTAATAGGTGATGACCTTTCGTGGGCCAGACCCACTTCCTCAGATCAAATAGTGGAAGAAAATTGTCACAACCATATATACCAAAGGATACAATTAAAAAAAATGAACACACATGAAAAGGACAAATCAAATTTCAGAACAGAAGGGGGATGGATGGGGGGAGCAAGGAGGGGAGGTAAATGTCTGTGAGCTAATGATATTAGAGGTGATAATTGGGGAAGCGATCTTTGTAATGGGTAAGATAATTAGCGTCTTTATTCAAATTTGAGTGTAAAGTGTTGAATTTAAGCATGATGTCCTTTTCATATGTGTTCATTTTTTAAAATTGTATCCTTTGGTATATATGGTTGTGACAATTTTCTTGTTAGTCTTTAAAGTGCTACACAGTCCTGTTTTTTCTATGAGACTTTGGCCTTGTTTGTTTATTCTCCAGTGCAAGTGCCTAACTTTACACATGTAAATCAACACTTAGCTCAAGACACTCACATTTGCAAACTTACTTCACAGCTTTTTGGCCAGAGAAATGAGGGATGCCATTACTAGTAGTTGGAAGTGAATAAAGTGGAAGGAACCATCAATGGTACGGGGAAGTAATAGTATTGAAAACACGAGGGGTAAAATTCAATGTACTTCTGTGAGTTGTGTTTAATCCAGTAGCATTGCTCCATTTCTTTTTTCTTCAGCAAGCTTTAGCTTGCTTGATATTTGGAGAATATAGATTTTCTTATCTTAGTTTTTGTGAATTGCCTGTTGCTGGATGTAGTTATCAACTTGAAACTAACTAGTCTTTTCCCTGCATACAGAATTTTGCTTTGGATGGTTTGGTCAACATAGTTGGAGGTTGCTGTGGTACCACTCCAGCACATATCAGGTAACTTCCCAGATCACGATAATCTGTTCACATGAACAGGAAAGGAAAATGTCCCTGTTCTCCAAATTGGAGTTCCATGCCTTGTTTTAAGACCCCGTCACCAAAAAGAACAAACAAGCTACTGTGGGTCAGACAGTTCTGTACTCTGTCATTAGTGACCTGTTGTTGTGGGGGCAGGAAGGTGGTAAAAGCAAGTGTAATAAATTTGGTCACTTGCCTTGACTAAAACAGTTCCAGAATAAAACTCTGTCTTTTCCTTTCCTCTTCTCTGCATTCTCCTCTTGTATGATGATGTTGTAAAGCTGCTTTGAAAGGAAAAAGAACAAAGGGACAGACAAAGCCAAGGCAAGGATCTGGGAGGATTAAAGTGACAGTTCTGTCCAGCTGGGAGAAATGTTTCATTACAGTCCAGCTAGAAATAGTAATTTGGAATGCTTCCTTCCTCTCTTTATTCTTTTGGTGTCCACAAGAGGCAGACCCCCCCTCTCTTGCAGGATTAGGAAAAAGATAACCCTTCTGATGATCTGTGTGGTTGTGAGTGCAGGAGACATAGCCCATTATCCTCAGCTGATTGTGAAGCCAAGCGAGGAAAGATGGCTATGCTGTCATAAAGTTGTGTTTATCCTGGGACATCTCAGGAGCCATTAGGAGAAGCACCCCAGCTCAGAGTTAGTGAAATCAGTCCCTTGCTGCTACAGTCCATCTTCAAGAAGTCCCATGTTTTGAATGGAAACTTATGGGGCTGAGCATTAGTGCGGCAGATCCTTCTGCCCACTCATAAGTGAATGAGTCATCTAGTGGGGATGGTGATTTACCCTTCTGTATTAGATAAAAATCTTTAGCTTCATATACTTGCTACAATTTGGATATAACATATGTTTCTGAAGAGCATTTATTTTTGCCTTTGGCTGCACAAAATAGAACATCTTATTACCCTTGTTTGCCAGGGGGAAGCAGTGTCTCTTTGTAGTATATTTCATTTGAATATTATATAGAGGTTTTTTATTTTAATTAAATATGTATATTCTTAACTCTGGGGCTTTTGCCTTCCTTTTTCTGTTATTCAGGGAAATTGCTGAAGCAGTGAAGACATGTAAACCTCGCATTCCCCCCTCCTCCATTTCAGAAGGGTATATGCTGTTGTCAGGTAAGAGACAACACAGCAGGTTGAGACTTTTGTCTCCTGACGTGCTTAGCGATTGCTCTCTGGAGACCAGAAAGGATGGGTGAAATCCCAACTTCATAGCCATAAACTCCAGCTTTTGAAAGTTTTTTACACAGTTCGAAACTTTGATGTTTGGGCCCATCACTAGTTATAGCTAAAGAATTATTGAAACTATTAACTTTATAATCAGCAGAAATGTCTCTCAGACCTCAAGTGCACTGGCTTCAGTCTCGTTTAATAATGATCTTTATTGTTTTCATTGGTGGATCTCAAAGCACTTCACACACCAGGATAAGTATTTTTATCCCTTTTTTGCAAGTTTGGGGTTTTTAGTCCTAGAGAGGTAAGTTGATGTGTTGCAGGTCATGTGACAGGTGAGTAGCACAGCAAGAAATAGAAACCAGGTCTCCTGATCCTAAGAAAATGCTCTGTTAGTATATCAGGTTACTGGTTTGGATTTATAACACAGTTTGACTAGTGTGGATGGAATTAAATCATGGTAAATCTGAATCTAGAATTTGATTTTTGAATACTGTTTGGCTTTATACATGCCAGCTAGTAAGTTCTAAGGCCCAATCATGCAGGCATTCTACTTGCAAATCCCAATGGGTGTTGATGAGAGATATGTGCCCAGAACAATTACAAGATCAGGATGCTAGAGATACCTATATGTATATGTGGCTATGGTTATGTATAGTTCCTTTCTTGTAGAGGTTGTCTCCCGACATTATACTGGTATGATGCCCAGCTTACACCAGTCATTTTGGCCATATGTCCACATTGCAAAGGAGCTATAGCTGCTAGAGCCTGCAATTAAGAATTTTGCTGTTGAGAGACATTTTGTCTATTGCCATGACAATTTAGCACAGTTAGGCAGCCTGGGGCTCTCTGTGTCACCTGCGAGGCATTTGATTTACCATTGCCTATGCGTAGGCTTGCCACATTCTTCTGGTTTCCGTTCACATAGTTTTTTTCCTACTGGCATTACCAAAGTAACATGCATATAAACCAAAGGCACATGAAGGGAGGTGCGTGCTGATTGCACAAAACATTGACTGAGAGAGCCATGCATTCCTGCCATCCAGCCAAAGTGCTGCTATGGTTCAGTCAGCGCACCCTGTAAATTCTCAGTACATAAGCACAGTTAGGAAAGCTACCCTATCTTGGGAAACCATTTTGGTTACGACAATCTTGCGGCCCACAGGGACGAGAGAGGGCCATTCATGCAGCCCACTCAATAGCCTAGGTTACCCATTGCTGATATAGCTGGCGGTATGACGTATGTCCAGTTCCAGCTTGATATATTGTTGAATCCACATTCCTACAGATAAAAGCTGGCTTTATCTCTTGGACTGGAAATAAGTTGCTTTTCCCCTACAATCTTCCTCCCCCCACCTTTTTACAAATGTTTTCTAAACTGTCTCTTTTTAGGACTTGAGCCCTTCAGAATTGGTCCTTACACCAACTTTGTTAACATTGGTGAACGTTGCAATGTGGCAGGATCAAAGAAGTTTGCTAAACTCATCATGGCAGGCAACTATGAAGTGAGCATCCCATTTAATTTACACTTTTAACTCTACTTTTTCTAAACAGTGTGTCAGTTATATGGTTACAGTATTTTCCATTGCATTGCTTTACTGGCTACTTACTAAGCCTACATGTAGGCCTTCTCCCACACCAGCTATAGGAGGGTAAATTCTCCTCTTTAGTTTTCTTGTTTTTTCTCCGTGGTCTTCCTTACTTAGGTTCCTTGCTAATCCACTTGTATGCAAATAAAGCGCGAAAAAATGCTAATCTGTGCTTCATTTGCATAGGCTTTTGCGGCAAATCTTGTAGTGTAGACGTAGCCATAGGATATGTTAATGTAGCAAACAGAAACCCACAGCTGGCTTGTGCCAGCTGACTCGGGTCACAGGGCTCAGGCTTCAGAGCTGTTTCACTGTTGTATAGACTTCTGGGCTCAGTCTGGAGTCCAGATTCTGGGACTCTCCCACCCTACAATGTTCTAGTACCCAGGCTTTTCCCATCTTAGAGGCCAAGAAGATATTTAGTCAGTGACCCCATTTTTGCATAGAGAGTGACATCAGCTCTGCATTACTAATTATTTCTAGGTTGGCATATTCATAGCTTCCCAGGCCAGAAGGGACCATTGTGATCATCTAGGGCAGCGGTTCCCAACCTTTGCCAGACGGGGACCCATTTTAATAATTCAGGAAGACTTGGTGACCTAAGGCAGTTCAAAACGGGGGGAGGAGGAAAGGGCAGAGCCACCTGGAGAGACACTTGGTGACCCTTTTGAAATGTAGTGGTGACCCATATTTGTTCCCCCGAGACACCACTTTATATACGGGTGCAAACACGTTACACATTGCTCCTGATGTGTCAGATTGCCACCCTCTGACGCTGTCAGGTTACCACCCTCTGATGCTACTTCGATATCACCCTGTACCTCATGGTTTGATTAGATCATCTTTATCCATTGTGCTGTCATTTTAGACCCTTTCCTGAACCTAGGTCTGGATCTGCGGGAAGTGTGGGTTCTAAGGTCTTTTTTAACAAGCTGGTGGTACCATCCTTTTGAAATGTGCTTTCAACTTATGACGAGTACCAATTACTGTTTTACAGTTGGTACCTAGTACCAATTACTGTTCTACACCTGGATCTATTAGTGTTTTACGCTCTCCCGCACAGTTTGTCCCAATTTCTGTGAGCAGGGGCGTGCCTCTTGCTCACAGCATAGCTTTGTTTTATATTAGCCAAGTGTTGTCCATGGTTAGCTAGGCCTCAGGCCTCAAATGAGGCCTGTGCTACACGGGCTTTTGTTTTAGGGCCTCATCTTACTACTCAGGGCGATATTACATCCTGTAAGTGTGACATACCTTCTTTGTTCCCCAACACATACATTTACATTTAGCTGTGTTGAAATGCATATTGTTTGCTTTTGCTCAGTTTACCAAACTATCCAAATTACCCTTATTTACTACTCTCCAAATTTTATGTTCTCTGCAGATTCTATCCGAGATTATTTTATTGTTCTTTCACATCACTGTTAAAAATTGTAGGGCCAAGAAATAATCCTGGACAGGCCCCCTGGAAACATACCTGCTCAATGACACTTTCATTTCGAGACCTATCAGTGAGCCAGTTTTTAATTGGTTTAATGTGTGCCATGCTAATTTTCTATCATTCTAGTTTTTAAAGAAAAATCATAAGGTACCAAATAGGGATATAAAATCCTTTTAAACTGGCTAACCAGTTAAACATATTATTGCTCAGTGAAGAGGGAGAAACAATAACAGGAAACTTGGAATTGGAGAGGTGCTTAATGACTTCTTTGGTTTGGTCTTCACCAAGAAGTCTGATGATGAAGGAATGCCTAATATAATGAAAACTAGTGAAAATGGGGTAGGTTTAGAAGATAACATTAAAAAAGAACAAGGTAAAAATTACTTAGAAAAGTTAGATGTCTTCAAGTCACTAGGGCTGGATGAAATGCATCCTAGAATGCTCAAGGAGCTGATAGAGGAGGTATCTGAGCCTTTAGCTATCACCTTCGAAATATTATGGAAGACTAGAGAGATTCCAGAAGACTGGAAAAGGGTAAATATAGTGCCCGTCTATAAAACAGGAAATAAGAAAAAACCAGGAAACTACAGACCAGTCAGTTTAACTTCTGTGCCAGGAAAGATAATGGAGCAAGTAATTAAGGAATTCATCTGCAACTATCTGGAAGAAAATAAGGCGATAGATTGGATTTGTAAAGAACAAATCATCTCAAACCAATCTGATAGCTTTCTTTGAAAGGATAAAACGTCTGGTGGATAAGGGAGAAGTAGTGGACATGGTATACCTAGATTTTAGTAAGGCATTTGATACAGTCTCACATGAGCTTATCAGTAAACTAGGGAAATACAACTTAGATGGGGCTATTATAAGGTGGGTGCATAACTGGCTTGATAACCGTTCTCAGAGAGGAATTATTAATGGTTCACAATCATGCTGGAAGGGCATAACAAGTTGCGTTCCGCAGGGATCTGTTTTGGAACCGGTTCTGTTCAATATTTTCATCAACGAGTTCGATATTGGCATAGAGAGTACACTTTTTAAGTTTGCAGATGATACCAAGCTGGGAGAGGTTGCAACTGTTTTGGAAGATAGGGTCATAATTCAAAATGATCTGGACAAACTGGAGAAATGGTCTGAGGTAAATAGGATGAAGTTTAATAAGGACAAATGCAAAGTACTCCACTTAGGAAGGAACAATCAGTCTCTCACATACAGAATAGGAAGTGACTGTCTAGGGGGGAGTACTGCAGGAAGGGATTTAGGGGTCATCATGGACCACAAGCTGAATAGGAGTCAACTGTGTGATATTGTTGCAAAAAAGCAAACATGATTCTGGGATGCATTAACAGAAGTGTTGTGAGCAGAAAACGAGAAGTCATTCTTCTGCTCTACTCAGCGCTCATTAGGTCTCAATTGGAGTATTGTGTCCAGTTCTGGGCACCACATTTCAAGAAAGATGTGGAGAAATTAGAGAGGGTCCAGACAAGAGCAACAAGAATGATTAAAGGTCTAGAGAACATGAGCTATGAGGGAAGACTGAAAGAATTGGGCTTGTTTAGTTTAGAAAGGAGAAGGCTGAGAGGGGACATGATAGCGGTTTTCAAGTATCTAAAAGGGTATCACAAGGTTAGCCTCTGAGGATAGGACAAGAAGCAATCGGCCTAAGCTGCAGCAAAGGAGGTTTAGGTTGGACATTAGGAAAAACTTCCTAACTGTCATGGTGGTTAAACACTGGAATAAGTTGCCTAGGGAGGTTGTAGAATCTCCATCTCTGGAGATATTTAAGAACAGGTTAGATAGAAGTGCTGCTATGGTTCAGTCAGCGCACCCTGTAAATTCTCAGTACATAAGCACAGTTAGGAAAGCTACCCTATCTTGGGAAACCATTTTGGTTACGACAATCTTGCGGCCCACAGGGACGAGAGAGGGCCATTCATGCAGCCCACTCAATAGCCTAGGTTACCCATTGCTGATATAGCTGGCGGTATGACGTATGTCCAGTTCCAGCTTGATATATTGTTGAATCCACATTCCTACAGATAAAAGCTGGCTTTATCTCTTGGACTGGAAATAAGTTGCTTTTCCCCTACAATCTTCCTCCCCCCACCTTTTTACAAATGTTTTCTAAACTGTCTCTTTTTAGGACTTGAGCCCTTCAGAATTGGTCCTTACACCAACTTTGTTAACATTGGTGAACGTTGCAATGTGGCAGGATCAAAGAAGTTTGCTAAACTCATCATGGCAGGCAACTATGAAGTGAGCATCCCATTTAATTTACACTTTTAACTCTACTTTTTCTAAACAGTGTGTCAGTTATATGGTTACAGTATTTTCCATTGCATTGCTTTACTGGCTACTTACTAAGCCTACATGTAGGCCTTCTCCCACACCAGCTATAGGAGGGTAAATTCTCCTCTTTAGTTTTCTTGTTTTTTCTCCGTGGTCTTCCTTACTTAGGTTCCTTGCTAATCCACTTGTATGCAAATAAAGCGCGAAAAAATGCTAATCTGTGCTTCATTTGCATAGGCTTTTGCGGCAAATCTTGTAGTGTAGACGTAGCCATAGGATATGTTAATGTAGCAAACAGAAACCCACAGCTGGCTTGTGCCAGCTGACTCGGGTCACAGGGCTCAGGCTTCAGAGCTGTTTCACTGTTGTATAGACTTCTGGGCTCAGTCTGGAGTCCAGATTCTGGGACTCTCCCACCCTACAATGTTCTAGTACCCAGGCTTTTCCCATCTTAGAGGCCAAGAAGATATTTAGTCAGTGACCCCATTTTTGCATAGAGAGTGACATCAGCTCTGCATTACTAATTATTTCTAGGTTGGCATATTCATAGCTTCCCAGGCCAGAAGGGACCATTGTGATCATCTAGGGCAGCGGTTCCCAACCTTTGCCAGACGGGGACCCATTTTAATAATTCAGGAAGACTTGGTGACCTAAGGCAGTTCAAAACGGGGGGAGGAGGAAAGGGCAGAGCCACCTGGAGAGACACTTGGTGACCCTTTTGAAATGTAGTGGTGACCCATATTTGTTCCCCCGAGACACCACTTTATATACGGGTGCAAACACGTTACACATTGCTCCTGATGTGTCAGATTGCCACCCTCTGACGCTGTCAGGTTACCACCCTCTGATGCTACTTCGATATCACCCTGTACCTCATGGTTTGATTAGATCATCTTTATCCATTGTGCTGTCATTTTAGACCCTTTCCTGAACCTAGGTCTGGATCTGCGGGAAGTGTGGGTTCTAAGGTCTTTTTTAACAAGCTGGTGGTACCATCCTTTTGAAATGTGCTTTCAACTTATGACGAGTACCAATTACTGTTTTACAGTTGGTACCTAGTACCAATTACTGTTCTACACCTGGATCTATTAGTGTTTTACGCTCTCCCGCACAGTTTGTCCCAATTTCTGTGAGCAGGGGCGTGCCTCTTGCTCACAGCATAGCTTTGTTTTATATTAGCCAAGTGTTG